ACAATTCTTTACCATTTAACGTTTACAATTCTTAACCATATAATCTTTACAATTCTTTTACCATTTAACGTTTACAATTCTTTTAACCGTAATCTTTACCAATTCTTTACCATTTAATGTTTACAATTTAACCATATAATCTTTACAATTCTTTTGCCATTTAACGTTTACAATTTTTAACCATATAATCTTTACCAATTCTTTTACCATTTAATTTACAATTTTAACCATAAATCTTTACAATTCTTTTGCCATTTAACGTTTACAATTCTTAACCATAATCTTTTACAATTCTTTTGCCATTTAACGTTTACGTTTAATTTTTAACCATATAATCTTTACAATTCTTTTACCCATTTAATTTTAACCAATTCTTTACAAACCATTTAATGTTTCTTAACCATATAATCTTTACAATTTTTGCCATTTAACGTTTACAATTCTTAACCATATAATCTTTACAATTCTTTACCATTTACCATTTAATTCTTAAACATATAAATTTTTACAACCATTTAACGTTTACAATTTTAACCATATAATCTTTTACCATTTAATTTTTTTACAATTCTTAACCATATAATCTTTACAATTCTTTTACCATTTAACGTTTACAATTCTTAACCATATAATCTTTACAATTCTTTACCATTTAACGTTTACAATTCATTAATTCTTTTGCCATTTAACGTTTAATCTTTTAACAATTCTTTTACCATTTAACGTTTACAATTCTTAACCATATAATCTTTACAATTCTTTACCATTTAATGTTTACAATTCTTAACCATATAATCTTTACAATTCTTTACCATTTAATGTTTACAATTCTTAACCATATAATCTTTACAATTCTTTACCATTTAATGTTTACAATTCTTAACCATATAATCTTTCAATTTTACCATTTAACGTTTACAATTTTAACCATTTAACGTTTACAATTCTTAACCATTTAATACAATTTTACCAATAATCTTTTACCATTTAACATTTAATGTTTACAATTCTTAACCATATTATCTTTACAATTCTTTACCATTTAATGTTTACAATTCTTAACCATATAATCTTTACCATTCTTTACCATTTAATGTTTACAATTCTTAACTATATAATCTTTACAATTCTTTAAATAACACACGAAGACTTGATTTATGATAAAAAATCAAATCAGTTAATCGTTTCAGGAGATGGTGACAAGGATTAAAATTGAATTCGTTCATTTGAAATGGAAGCAAGCAAAGCAATGTAGCTGTCACTCTAACCAGGGAGTAATAAATTCGAGGGCGTGTTGTAAAGTTCTTCCTAATGAAGGAGACATTAAAAAAAACATTTCATCGGATTTGGAAATATAAAGTAAGATCGAGAACTTTTCAGCACTCAACTTTTGACGTGAACAATTAATTAATGCACGTTTCTGGGCATACATATCCGTCTGTGATAGGTGCCTGATTGACAGAGGACAGTAAGTACGACACTGAGATCCGCAGACATATTGGGATGGTCAAGGACACATTCCAAAAGGTGGGTAGAGTATTGCGAGACAGGAGGATTTCTATGGCAACAAAAAAAAGAATACTGAGCTGTTACGTGACATCTGTCCTTCTTTACGGAACGATTTCCTCACAGATGAAGAAGAGACTCGAGGCGACGGAGATGTGGTTCTACAGAAGGATGCTAAGGATATCACGGACCGAGCGAATGAGCAACAATGAGGTCTTAGAGAAGATGCAGACAAGGAGGAGGCTTATACTTAACATCAGAAAGAGGCAGCTGAAGTTTCTGGGATACATAATGAGGAAGGACTGCCTGGAGAAACTGATACTCACGGGTCTAATAGAGGGAAAGAGAGAAGGGAAAACAGCGAGCGACATACCTGGCGAGCTTGAGCAGGTGGATGACAGAACGTGGTCTGATGGAGGAAGCAGCGGGAAGGAACTTGAGAGCTCAGTATTTACATTAGTCGGACTATTGTCCTCATCTTTGTCGCCATATTTGTCACAACGTTTCGGCCGTTGTACGCTCCGGCCTTCTTCAGGTGGTTGGAATTTCGAACTGAACCCTTTATTTCGATCACTGGGGTAGACTGTTCTTTAGTTCCACGTGCCATGTTTGATGGATGTCAGTTATCAGTTATCTCCTGCTAATTTTCCCGCTGAAAGTTCTCCACTGCCTTAACCAGCCTTAGCAGGAGATAACTGATAACTGACATCCATCAAACATGGCACGTGGAACTAAAGAACAGTCTACCCCAGTGATCGAAATAAAGGGTTCAGTTCGAAATTCCAACTCCCTGAAGAAGACCGGAGCGTACAACGGCCGAAACGTTGTAACAAATATGGCGACAAAGATGAGGACAATAGTCCGACTAATGTAAATACTGTACATAATACCTCATCTCAGAAATATAGACAGATTTTGATGAGAGCTGTAAGGGATAGAGGTAGGTAGAGAGCCATGATCGCCTACATCGTGAAAGGACATGATACATAAAAAGAAAAGAAAGGTGCCTGCTTAGGCACATTTAGGCAACACCCACTGTATCAGACTTTAGCTTATACTGCCACTATGTTGAGTCTAGTTACAGTTTATGGGGGAAAGCGCATACGATGGCGGGGTTAGCAACTGAACAAGACCAGTCCAATCGAACACTGGGTCACGATGATTTTCGACTTCGTTCAAGCACAAGCATTGCCGGCTTCCAAATAGTTTCGGCTACCCAATTTCATTCACAAGGCTTGGATCAGCTTGTTGCATGTTTTACAAGTACTTACAATACCACAAATTGGGATCGTCACACTAGAATGATATTAACAAGAAGTCATCTCGAAGTGGGTCTCATGGCCAGTACATAAACGGTCTAACACCTCAGCCACCAGTATATCTATGTAAACACCAGCAGCTCTAGAGACTGTTCTTGTGTTGATTTAATTGGATAACCAATTTTATATCGCAGACAGATTGAAGTACTTAAAAATGTTGGCCTGGGAGTCCGGTGTTATTGAAATTTCCGGAACTGTCTTCGATAAGGTGATAACACAATACTTGTGGCCCAATTCTGATTATAAATTAAAAGATACTATTTATTAGAATCGCCCTGTTGTTCATTTTCTTGCATCTTAGATGCTTTTGAACTGCTACTTGGGGTTGACATGATAGGCGTATCAATTGTAACAATATTTCTTTTTTCCTTCCTTCCGGCACTATCACGATTTGGGGGGGGTGTTTTTGTTTGTTTTTGATTTTTGTTTTTTTTGGGGGGGGTGTTTTTTTTTTCTTTTTTTGCCACGATTTTTTTTAGTTTGGAGTATTATTTAAACAGTGGTAGGGTACCTTTCAACCAAGCTTTTGCATTTAGTGTTCCATGGGCGCCCCAAGGCAGTGTAATGCTTAGCAAGCTTGTTCTCGCTAGAACAATTACGACTGAGTAGTGAGCTCGATTCTCACTGGGTGCCCCATAATTTCGGCCTTGTGCCACACCTAAGCTACGCTTGGAAAATCGCTATTTAGTGTTTCATTGTATTTTAAGAAATCTAAATGAATAATAATACCCCAAATATCTGACCACATGCACATTACCTTTCTTCTATGGAGCTTAACTTTTGGGGTTGATTGTGCAATTTTTTTGGGGGGGTTGTTTTTGTTTTGTTTTTTGATTTTTTTGGTGGGTGGGAGTTATACGATCAGCGAAGCTACGCAAAATCAAGCCTGGATGGTTGACTGCTTGGGACTATCAATGGTGTTAGCTTGGATGTGCAGGTGGTGTAAAGGATGACGGCTCAAAATTGTAAATCGGAGAACTGATTTCCAGTTCCAGTCGGATTCTTTATATTTACTTACGCGAAAATACTCTTGGGAAATGTATGAATCCACCACTTCAACTCCCCCATCTATGGGTTAATTAATAAAACTTATATCAGTAAATCATTATTATCTCCAAACCCTTTTGAGAATCTAAAAATATTTTCTGGCTTTAAATAACGCGCAAAAGGTTGATATACCGTAAAAAACAAATCAATCAATCAACTAACCCTTCTTTCTTTCCTTCTCCCGGTTTTTTTTCTATCTGTTTGGTATGGTTTGGCTTGGTTTGTTTTACGGTGTATCAACCTCAGTGGGTTATTTAATGCCGACAAAATTTTTCTTGTAGGTAATATTTTTTCCAGTAATGTATTGCTGGCAATATTTTTTCTTCAAACATCGGAATTTTCCTCAAAAATCTTTGGCTGGTAATATTTTTTTCAAAAAATGTATAGCTCGTAATATTTTTAAAAAAATATACAGCTGGTACAGTGTAACCCGGATGTAAGAGACCCGGATATAAGAGAAACCCGGATATAAGAGGCTTCTTCTCCAGTCCCGACAACTCTCTTATATCCGGGTTACACTGTAATATGTTTTTCAAAAAACGTATAGATGTTTGTATTGCTGGTAATATTTTTTAAAACAATTGCTGGTAATAATTTTTCTTCAAAAATTTATTGCTGGTAATAATTTTTTACAAAGTATTTCTGGTATAAAACCTATTTTTACACTTTCATAGTGTTTTGACCCCAGTTTGGGGGTTAACTATTTGCCCATAGCTGGGTCAGGGTGGACCTGGGAACACCGACAAATAAGAGGTGGTTCCACGCTCTTCAAAACCTCCTGATCAGAGACCTTGCTGTTGGACGTAGTTTATCGTCTTACCCAGTAATCGGATGTATGTCATCCCCAGGACGGTCGTTTGTCTTGTTCCTGCCTCTCCAATGTAAGTTGCCAAATCTACGAGCAGCTACCAGAAATTTCTTGGGGAAATATACAATCTAATCTAGTCCCCTTTCGAAATACTCTTGTCTGCTGTTTGCACTCTGGCTCACAAAGACATATTGGCGAAAAGAGACACAAGGCCCTTAGACGGACGAAAGAAAATGGTTCAAATTGTCCAGATCCTGCGACTGTTTTCGGTATGCAACAAGGATAGGAAATACCTCCGACCCAGCTGCGTTTAGCACAATATGGAGGCGCTGCAAGAACAAACAGGCCCTCTGGAAATGGGCGATACAACTCGGTCGTTCGTTGCTGGGGATCGCGAATCAAAGTTGAGCACAATGACACATACCGGGTACCGTGCGTAAATGCTACTATATTCGGGTGTCAGTAGCTGTTCAGATCCACGGAACTCTAGGGCAGCATCTTGTATGGATATAATGAAATTGAAGAACACGAGATGCAAATGTTATTAAGTACAAAATAAAGAACGTCACTGCTTAATCGTCGAAAGCAAATTAGTTTTGTTTAGTCCTGAACTGTCTTATTTCATAATAATTTCCTTCTAGACTGACGAGAGGTTAAAACAGAAGATCAAATTGGAAATTCACAGTGATTTATTACTTATGAACACATATGACTTTTTCATAAATTACTTTGAGAACGAGAAAGAGAAATTATGTCCGCTGTCGGTGGTAGGGAGAAAATGATTTCCCAATAATTAAAATCAATGTAGATGTTCCAACTGATGATTTATTTTTTTATAATCATGTGTATCTATAACAACACTATTTTTATTGTTTTTGGTTTGGTTTGTTTTACGACATATCTACCTCATTGGCTTATTTAATACTGACAAAATTTTCATTACTGCTAATATTTTTGTTCAGAAATGTATTGCTGGTAATATATTTTTCTTCAAAAATGTATTGCTAGTAATATATATTTCCTTAGAGAATATATTTCTGATAATATTTTTTCCTTACAAAATGTATTACTGGTAATATTTTTTCTTCATAAATGTACTGTTGGTAATATTTTTCTTAAAAAGTGTATTGCTGGTAACATTTTTGTCCTTCAAAAATATACTGCCCGTAACATTTTTCCCTTCTAAAATGTATTGCTGGTAATAATATTTTCTTCAAAAATTCATTCCTGGTAATATTTTTATTTATTTATTTTTTTTTTTTTTTTTGGAAAAATGTAATTCTGGTATTAAAACTTATTTTTACATTTTTATAGTTTTTTTAACCCAAGTTAGGGGTTAACTATTTGCCCATAGCTAGGACTCTAACAGGTGCTACCACCACAAGATAGGGTGAACCCGGAGACATCAGCAACAAAGACTTGCTTCCACGCTGCTCAAAACCTACTGATCAGATGTCTTGCTATCAGTTGATCTTCTTCCCAGGACGCGAATGTAGTTTATCGTCATACCCAGGATGAGTCGTTTTGGGCTTCTTTTTTTTTTAAATATTCAGAATGAATTTGAAAAGACAGCAAAATATGCCAGCGAATCAGAATTGTATTTAGTGTTGTAAAAATATTAATTTCACGCGTCATTTCAAATATCAAATGAAACGTTATTTTTTTCATATCACCCCATGCAAGACAGTAAAGCCACTAAGACACAAGGGTTTACTGAGTTAGAAAGAATAAGAAGAAAGAGAAACGTTATTAAGCAGCGAGAACAACTGATGAGTAATCAAGAAGATAGTAGATAATGATTGATATTGCATTTAAAATTTGGAAGATCAAAGTTGACTACAAAGCGTGGAGTTTGACAAGGGAGATTCGCTAGAAAATAAAATGTTATTATAGAACTTAAGGTTACAGCTAAACAAATCAACTGTGAATTTGGAAAGTTAAGAATCTCATGTTTTATTCCCCCAGCTATGGATTAATTAGTAGTACTCTTATCAGCCCAGATTTTAAAATCTAAAAATATTTTTCTGGTTTTAAATAACCTGCAAAGTGTTGATAAACCGTAAAAAACAAATCATCATTATTATTATTATTATTATTATTATTATTATTATAGAAAAGTAGCAAAAATATAATAATGGCAATGCGTCATCGATGAAACTTGAACAGACGTAAACTGTCCCTTCGAATAAAATAATCGTTTTATGAAAAAAACAAAAAAAACAAAAAAAAAAAAAAAACGGAAAGAACATTCGATTATGGATTCAAAACTGATTAAAAAGACTTACATACAGGATTTATAGGCTTATCTCTTCTTTAAATGTTTCAATCTATAAGATCCATTCCTTTTGGTCTAAGAAAATCTTCACAATCTTTTGAAATTATATACTTTATCAGTGTTTCCTAACGTGGGTGCTAACGCAAATTTGAGTTTCTATTATGCTGGCAGTTTTCATTTTATTTGAGGAGCGGAGAACAAACTTAGGAATGTGGCAGACATTTTTTTTTCTTTCAAATTTTCAAAACGTATCCAATATTGGCTACAAAAGGAAATGTCTGAAAGGTAACTAAAGCTATCACAATTTTCTTCGTTGCTTTTTCAACTTCCTATATGGCTGAATGTATTTTCAATGCAGTTACACAGCTTCTTACAAAACAAAGAAACCGTCTACAAGTTACAAAACGAGGAGATCTACGATTACTTCTAAGCAGCATGGAACCTAGAGTAAGAACCTTAGCCATTAAGCATCAAAGTCAACCATCGAAATGAAAGCAATGAGATAAGCTATCAAATAAAAGGTGTTCTTTTAGCATTTTTAATTTAAAAAAAAGCCTTCAAATTACAAAACGACGAGATCTACGATTACTTCTGAGCAGCATGGAACCTAGAGTAAGAACCTTAGCCATTAAGCACCAAAGTCAACCATCGCGATGAAAGCAATGACATAAGCTATCAAATAAATGGTGTTTTTTTTTTAGCATTTTTAATTAAAAAAAAAAAAGCCTGTAAATTACAAATCTAGATCTACGATTACTTCTAAGCAGCATAATAATAGAAATGAAAACAATACTAAAATTATTGTTGAAAATGGTTGGGAAACTCTGCTTTCTCTCTCTCTCTCTCTCTCTCTCTCTCTCTCTCTCTCTCTCTCTCTTAATATATATATATATATATATATCCAAACAAATTACCAAATCACACCTGTTAGAATAGACGAAATAGAATAATAATAATAATAATAATAATAATAACAAAAAAAACTAAACAAAAAAACAGCGAGCCCAAATAAATAAAGTAAATAATAAACAAAGTAGCAAACCATTATGACCAAAATATTAGTTAGACTAAAAAATCAAACCAAAAAATCGGACGAAAAAAATAACTATAACTGTTATATAACGATAAAAAAAATAAATAAAATAAAATAAAAAATAAAATGAAATAAAAATAAATAAATAAATAAATACTACGTTACTTAAAAATCGAAAACCGAAAAGCGAAAATATACAAGTAAAATAAATTGACCTAAATTCATCCATGTAAATAAATAAACTAACCAATCCCGATAAAGTTACCGTTAGAAAAAACAAATAAAGATAATCAACCCAAATAAACACAAATTTCTGCCAAAATAATAGTTAGAATAAAACTACAACAACCAACCCCCAAACGGAACAAATAGCTTTAATTAAATTCTCAAACCAAAACAAAACTATTAAATAAGTGATATAAACAAATTTTTACTACGTTAATAAAAAACACAGATTAAAAAATAAGTAAATAAATAAATAAAATAAGAAACAAAAAATAAAATTAAATAAAAACAAGCAAAATAATTTAACCCAAATAAATGACTTCCGGTAAAATAACCGCCATAATAGACTACCCACAATGCACCACTGACCCGTATATATATAAATAGCCGAGAAAAATAACAGCACATGTGGCCTGACGATTGCATATAGCATGAAACAGACTGTCGCCTCTAAGTGTTGACTTCTATGTTCACTTTTATATATATATATATATATATATATATATATATATATATAATTAAAATTAAAGAAAATGAATCATTTAAAACAGTATTTTCTAACGTGGGCGCTAACGTCCCATTGTGGAATCTGTTATGATGAAAGGGAGCACTGGGATGTATTATTTAATTGGTGGAAAGGTGAACATATTCAGTGGGAAGGTAGGCATTTATCCACTTTTTTTCAACATTGGCTATAAAAGGAAATTTCGGAAAGGTATTTAAACCTATGGGAAGCTATCAAACTTTTCTTCATTGCTTCTCCATCTTCCTATATGACTGAATGTGCTTTGAACACACTTACACAGCTTCTTACTAAACAAAGAAACCGTCTACAAGTTACAATTTGAGGAGATCTACGATTATTTCTAAGCAGCATGGAACCTAGAATGAGAGCCTTAGCCGTTAAGCACCCGCATTTCCTTCATATTCTCCTGGTGAGATGTACGTCTCACTCGGGCGGCTTCTTCCCACGAACCAATTCCTTGTACAACCGCCTCTCTAGTAATTGCTTCCACGATAGCAACAGTCTTAACGTGCTGAAATCTAGGGCTGACGGTTATCTTCCAGCCATATCTGCATAAGCTGTCCCTCTTACTGTGAGATCCTTTACAACGAGTTGATGTTAAGCCTTTTACAGGATGAAAAACCATTCTAAAAAAAAAAAAGAAAAATTTAAAAACTATTCCCAAAGTGATCCTGTCAAGAATGACAGAAGACTTTCTTTCCAGCATAATATCGCTGACCTAAAACGATGTTTTAAATGTTTTTAGAGCACCGGAACTGATATTTTCACGTCGGCGCATAGACTTCGATCGATGCCATTCTATACGATCGTCATGAACACGATTTTCAATGACAGATTTTGACTTCTTTTGTATCAGCGAACAACTATTCGGAAATCGTAAAGCAGCTACTGTAGAAATATTTGTAAATCGAATGTTTTCAATGACCTTTTGAATTTGTATCTGTCTTTTTTATGTTAGCCGTGAGATTATATATTTTTTTCTTTGGAAAAAGGAAAACATATACTTAAAATGATAAAAATATGTTAAACATAAAGAAGGTTTAATTTATTTGAAAAGTTCGAAAAAATTTTCTGATTCAAACACATCCTTTATTCTGTAAATATTGTATTATCAACTTCCATTGTTATTTTAGGAAAATCTCACAACACTCTGAGTGGCTATACTTCTTCATATTAACATTGTCTAAGTATCTACAAGTGTTAGTTAAATTTTATAATTGCTTCTTATCACAATCTACTGCATTATTACGATTCTATCTATCTATCTATCTACAGTCTTTTCATTATCTATATCAGTCTGTTCATATCTATCTATCTATCTATCTATTTATCTATCTATCTATCACAGTCTCTTCATTATCTGTCTCAGTCTGTTTATCTCTCTCGCTTTCTTTTTCTCTCTCTCTCTCTCTCTCTAGCTTTCTTCATCTCTCTCTCTCTATCTCTATCTCTCTCTACCAGTATTTTCATTATCTGTTTATCTCAGTCTGTTCATATCTATCTATCTATCTATCTATCTATCTATCTTTCTTTCCATCTATCTACCATAGCATTTTCATTATCTGCCTATCACAGTCTGTCCATATCTATCTATCTATCTATCTATCTATCTATCTATCTCTCGCTCTCTCTAGCTCTCTCTATCTCTCTCTCTCTCTCTCTCTGTATCTATCTATCTATCTATCTATGTCTGTTCATTATCTCTCTTTGTTCATCCTTCTCTATATATACACCGTGTCTAACAGCAAAATTGTCCAAATAGTGTAACAGCAAAATTGTCCAATTGTCAGATTCAACTTTCTGTTCTATTGGAGCAATGATTAAAGATATTTACTAAAATTCTCGGAGGTTTTTATAACACTACTGGACTCTGCTTTGAGCAATAAGAATGTGTAATTACACTCTACGCTTAACAGAATTACTGCGATGAAACTAAAATGACACGTTCATCATTAATTAATCATAGGTAAGGATCGGAAGATCATGAAGGATTGAAATAAAGTTCAATATATATATATATATATATATATATATATATATATATATATATATTATTTCTGGATCATTTTCAAACTTATTCAAGGTTATCTTCGCCCTCTCTAACCTTCTAACTTTCTGTCCTGGAGTAACAAGTTACCTCACATGTTTCACGTACGGTTTTATTTTCAAGTCTTTTTTTTTTTCACTGATCTTTGGACTGAAAAAAATGAAATGACGATCCCTATTCCTGTTGTGACCTCATGATTCATTTTTCCTTTCTACTGTTGCCTCTTTTCTAAATTTATTCATTGTTCTTTTGATGATCCTTGAATGGGCTTTGTAGATGGAAGCCAGATTATGAATGTTGGTACCATTACTGAAGGCCTGAATGATCTTTTTCCTCTCACCATTGCGCAGTTGGTAAACATAGTGGGTTTGACACAAAACAATTTTAACTTGTTTTCTTTTGCAAGCTAAATAACTCAAAGGGTTTTTCAGTGATTCTTACGACAAATGGCGTCTTATCTGAAAATCTGGAAAAAAAGAAATATATATATATATTAAGACATATAAAAATAAGCTGGTAAATGTTGTTTAATACTGTTTATTATAAACAGTGCATTTACTTAAATATTTGTATCTATATAAAGAATGTATAAACATAAAATGTCTTAAAATAATTGTCGGACTCTGTCCATTTCATAATATATGCATATATATATAATATATATATATATATATATATATATATATATATATATATATATATATATATATATATATATATATATACAGAGAGAGAGGGGGAAGGGAGGAGAAAAAGAGAGATCATAATGTATATTTTTGCATACTCCCATTTTTTATAAAGAGCTTTCTTGTTCATGTCTATATATCTATCTATCTATCTATCTATCTATCATAATCTGTTCATATCTATCTATCTATCTATCTATCTATCTTAATAACCAAGCATTACACAGGACAAGCAAAAGATATACGAATACTATCTAACAATATTACGAGCAGATATGATCAAATGAGATATCTATCTATCTATCTATCTATCTATCTATCTATCATAATCTGTTCATATCTATCTATTTATCTATCTACATATTTTCCAATCTATTTATGTATCTATCTCTGATGTCTATCCCCTTTTCATTATTTCCATATTAGTCAGTTCCTATCTATCTGTCTGTCTGTCATAATCTGTTCATATTTATCTATCTACCTATCTATCTATATCACTGCATATTTTATTATCTATTTATTTATCTATCTCTGACGTCTATCTCCGTTTCAATATTTCCATATCAGTCGGTTTCTATCTATCTATCTATCTATCTATCTATCTATCTGTCTGTCTGTCTGTCTGTCTGTCTGTCTATCATAATCTGTTCATATCTATCTATCTACCTATCTATCTATCTATCTGTCTGTCTATCATAATCTGTTCATATCGATCTCTCTATCTATCTCTCTATCTATCTGTCTGTCTGTCTGTCTATCATAATCTGTTCACATCTATCTATCTATCTATCTATCTGTCTGTCTGTTTCTCTGTCTGTCTGTCTGTCTATCATAATCTGTTCATATCTATCTATCTATCTATCTATCTATCTATCTATCTATCTGTCTGTCTATCATAATCTGTTCATATCTATCTATCTCTCTATCTATCTGTCTGTCTGTCTATCATAATCTGTTCCTATCTATCTATCTATCTATCTATCTGTCTGTCTGTCTGTCTATCATAATCTGTTCATATCTATCTATCTATCTATCTATCTATCTGTCTGTCTATCATAATCTTTTCATATCTATCTATCTATCTATCTATCTATCTAACTGTCTGTATATCATAATTTGTTCATCTATCTATCTATCTATCTATCTATCTATCTATCTATCTATCTATCTATCTGTCTGTCTGTCTGTCTATCATAATCTGTTCATATCTATCTATCTATCTATCTATCTGTCTGTCTATCATAATCTGTTCATATCTATCTATCTATCTATCTATCTATCTATCTATCTATCTAACTGTCTGTATATCATAATTTGTTCATCTATCTATCTATCTATCTATCTATCTATCTGTCTATCATAATCTGTTCATATCTATCTATCTATCTATCTATCTATCTATCTATCTATCTGTCTGTCTATCATAATCTTTTCATATCTATCTATCTGTCTGTCACTGTTCATATCTATCTTTCGTTTAGTTTCCACTGGTTTCGCCTTCACATGAATGCATTGATTCTCATGAAAATTGGTCTGTTCTTAAATTTGAACATACTCAAGGAAAGCCAGGGGAATTGTGTAGAACGCGTTCGATGATTAGTGCTTTTGAGCACTTGGAAAATCAACGATAACCAAATTCTTCACCACCACCCCAACACACACACATCAATATACGCGTGCGTGTGTGAGTGCGAATGTGTGTGTGAGTGTGAATGTGTGCGTGTGTTTCTAACTGGTTGTGCATGAAATGGAAACAATAATATATTTTGTTGAATTCCTGCTTAGAGAAACGGAAGCGAACTTATTTATTGACGGAGTTGTCAAACAATTTATTTATATTCTCATATATCTATGTTTACAGATCTCTGGATGTTTGCTGCATAATACCAATTTGAGCCATAAGCCTTTCTTTATGAGACACTCAATGAGAAACGAACGCATTTTGCAACGCTTAGTGAAACTAATATGTCAGTCCGTAAATTATGAGAAAAGTTTCGGTCGTATCCACTGCTTATACACCGAACTAAATACTCGTATGCAGGTCAATGTTTTCACAATAAGATTAATATTAATTATAATAATTATTTATTATGCAACTTGAAAGTTGTTCATCACCTACTATATAATAATTACCGTTGTGTATTTATTTATTTTATATCTTTCGTGTCAAGTTCTATAGTGATAAAGTAGGTAAATCAACTTCAGGTAAAATTTAAACTTAAATTTATGAGTGGTTATTTTCCTTAGACATTTTTAATAATCTATACAGATAAAATATTTATCTTCAGATAAAATTAATTCCCGAGCAAAAGGAACCGTTTTATTAATCCGTTTCCATACCGATATGTTTCTTAGACTTCAGTCTTATTTGTTAAGGTCTTTCTTATGAAGAACTCAGTTCCCTTAGACTGTTAAGTAATTGTCTTGCTTCCACTTGGAAAACTATATAACAACATTACGAGCAATTTTGTCGACTGCATATTATAGTATCGTAAGTTAGACACTGTGAGAAAAAAAAAAAACACCATGACGCAATTCACTCCGTCAGAAATTTGGAAACGGTATGCTGAACTACTTGGCATTCGCGCCGGAAGCTCCATTACGAACATTTCAGGATGTTTTTGTGTCAAAACGTTTTTTTTTTCCCCATTCCTTTGCAATATTAAAGATTTCAAACGAATTTTTTTAACGTGCAAAGTTATTGAGCAAAAAGCGATTTATATAATGGCGAGATTAATCAATGCATCATAGACACCATTGACTGTCTAGAATATATAAACAGAACGGATTAATTGAACGGTTCATTGGCCTCTATTTCAGTATTGAATTCTGGATTTCTGCTTCACTGCATCCCAATATAGTATTTCAAAATGTTTGTCTCATTTCTTTGCAATATTAAAGATTTCAAACATTTGACCTCTATTTTGACGCCACGGGTGCGTTAACCCTTTATAAATTAGCGTAAAGCTAAACTTTGATGTGTGACCCCACCATGCATCAGTAGAACAAAAAGACCCGCCTCGTTAAAAAATAATCCATTAGCATTTTGTTGTATTAATAACAAATGGCTTTTATGACATTAACGCTAACGTTTAATTCTCATAACACTTTTAAAAGCATATTTTAATAAATATATCAACGATATTTTTAATGCAGATTTTTAAAACTCGCTACATACAGCGTGCGAGGGGTAGATTTTAGCCATTTCATTTTTTTTTAATTTCGCGCATGCGCGTTATTTTCTTCTTTTAATTTTGTCAACTGCACAGTATAGTAGGGTCAGTTGGGCGCCGCCTGTAAGAAGAAAAAAACACCACGATGCAATTCACTCTGTCAGAAATTTGGAAACGTCATGCTGTACTGCTTGTCCTTCACACCGGAAGCTCCAATGTGAACATTTCAGATCTGATTACAGTGCAGAGGATTCGGAAAGAGTTGGATGAGTTTAATGGTGATGACGAAGGTAGACAGCTCGGAAAGCACACTTTGATCTTTCTGGTGAGAAAAGAACTCTTGAATTTGTTGGTGTGGGCCTCAGACTCAACACGGAGGCCTAGACCAAGTGACTTCGTGGAGGCAGTGCTGCTCTCGGTCGCCATGTGGCTTCTCGAAGATTCTATATCTGGCAACAGGACTCTGCACCATGCAACACAAGCAGGAGAACCAATTCATGGCTGTCAAACAATTTCTGTGACCACATCACCCCTTACATTTGGCCACCTAACTCCCAAGACTGCAGCCGCCTTATTATGTGTGAGGCGCAGTTGAGCGAGAGACCAACAAAACACCTTGTAACGAAACGATGAACTAAAGGCAAGGATTACGGCAGAATTTACCAACTTAAACAAGGAGTCCGTCCAGTTGCAGGAGATTCCGAAGTCATCTGGAGGCCGTGGTTGAAGCCAATGGAGATTTTATTGAACAAATTAACTCTTTAGTATTTCAAGATATTTTTGTGTAATTTTGGTAAATATACCTGTTAAAATAAAATGTCAGTATCATCTTCATTTTTGCCTCATCTAGACGACGATTTATTCATCGCACGCTGAAGTTCTTTCTGTTTTCTATATCATTTCACTCCAATCAAGGCGATAAAGCCACTAAGACGCAAGAGGTTACTGAGAGGGGAAAGAAAATGAGAAAACACGAGTAAGGAGAAAGGACAATAAAAGAAAAGGGTTCGAAACGACAATGCCGGTTGAAGTTACATGTAAATTTAAATTTTATGATCAAAGCTGACAGGAAAGAATTAAACCGGAAGTTGAGAACAGCGAAAGACGAAACTATTCAAATCGAACAGCTATTTCAATAGTAAAATGATGAGACTTAACTACCAATCTAGTACTACGTTCCAGGTAGCAAAGGGGAAAAGTTCGTCAGAATAATTGTCATTATTTACATTGTTTACATTTTTAGGTCTGTTGCCATCTTCTTCGTGGCCATATTCACGACGTTTCGGTCCTTGTACGCTCCCGCCTTCTTCAGGTGAAGGGAATTTCGAATTGAATCCTTTATTTCACCCACCGAGGTAGATTGTTCTAGTTTCACGTGCCAATCCGGATGTCTCAGTATCAGTTATCTCCCTTTGATTCAACTATCCAAGTTTTTGTTCACCTTGGCTGTAGCCAGGTATTGAACTCACAACTCTTTGGGTCAAGTCAGTGGAGCCAACCAATGCTTTTATCCACTGGGCCATGTGTCCTGATATGTGGCATCCGGAAGAGGCGTGGCACGTGGAACTAGAACAATCTACCCCGGTGGACAAAATAAAGAAATTAGCTGGAAATTTCAATCACCTGAAGAAGGCCGTTTTGCTTGTTTGAGAAAAGGCCCAACAATGAAAGATGATGAACTAATTCAGCATTGATTAGGGTCTCTATGAGTTTCCCAAAAAGCGATAGAGTCTAATAGGTCGGTTGTTGAAAGGGTCGGACGGTTCACCAGAGTTCTTAAAAATTGATACAACAGACGATGAATTCCATCAGGCAAGAGGCAACGAGTCATTTATTATACAGTTTAGAGAGAACAGGAGCCAGTTCAGGGAACACTTCTTAATAAATATTACAGGGATACCATCGAGTCCTCATGCTTCATGAATCAATGTTAGAGATGATGGCAGAAATCATGAAATGGGTTATATGCATATCACACAATAGATATTCAGTTCTAAATGGAAAGGCTTACTCCAGATGAGACAAGAGTAGAGTCT